CCACTGAGACTATGGCCCCCAGCTGCCCTTTAGGTCTGGAATTGAACCCACTCCTGTGGCTTCTAGCCAAACAAAAGATAGCCATATGAGCTGAACATTTCCATTAGGCAGATACACTCCTTGGAGAGATCGATCATGGGAGAACAGAAGGGCTGTGTATGTATAGGGAGACAGCTCAGGGGCCAGGAGGGAAGGACACAGGGAAAAGGTAACTATGGGGAGGAAGTGGGAAGAGAGATATGGCATTGTGGAAAATTGCAGTCACTGTCATGACACAAAGTGCATGTGAACTGCTGCATGGAAAATGAATTTGCTCTGTAAACTTTCACCCAAATCACAACAAAAAATTTTTAAAAAATTAAATACTTGATAGTTCTGAAGGTCAGAAACAATTTGTGACATACAGGTTTGCCGCACTATGTGACAACAGTACAATCCAATTCTATGAAAACCTTTTGTAAGCCAAAATGGTGTAAAGCACAGAAACAATTTCTACTGGAAAAAATTTTGAGCATTTCCAGACCCAAGAAATAACTACTAAATCATATCAAATAAAACATAAAACCTAAAATAACACTAATGAAGATTGCTCAGAGACACAATTGAAAGCTAAAGGCTGCTTGATGCTGAGATGCTCAGTATCATTTCCGGGAAAGGAGCTTGGCAAAGCCACTTTCCCTGCTTGGGGTCCATGCTGCCTCTTTAATGGCTTGTCACAAACGAACACTTGTTTCGTTTTCTTCCTTTGTTGGTAAAAGCGAAAATCTCTTTGGGTTTCATTCTGTTAGCAAAAACTCAGGGATAAAAAAAAAAACCTCACTGCCATTGAGTTGATTCGACTCATAGCCGCCCCTTCTTGGACTTCGAAGGCAGTATCTCTACAGAAGTAGATTGCCCAATTTTCCTTCCGAGGAATGGCTGGTAGGTTTGAAAGCTAATGTAATGTACTAATGTAAGTCTTTTGTAAAAGTGAAATGGTGTAAAGTGCATGTTTGAAAATCGGGGGATACTTGTATAGAAATCCATACCAACATTGCTGAAAAGATGATTAGTTTTTGCAGGGTACTCTAAAATTCTACTATTGATTATATAAAATAAAACTGAGTGTATGGAAAACTGGTCTACACAGGTATAAAAATACTTGTAATTTATTATTCTTAAAATGAATAGTGTGGGCTCACCATAATTAGGTAAAATATACATGTTGAGTGGTACCATCAACAGAACTATGCATCCCAGAAAAATAAAAGGCACCTCATAGCCAAAAGTTTGATACAAAAAGCCACCCAGAGGAGGCCCCAGCACAAAGCCAAGTCCGGAGAAAATCTCAAGACTGCCCTAAAAATGGAAAAACAAAAGAAAATTGAGTCAATATATTTCATTTGAATATTTAACAAACAAATATATTTAATGAACTTAACTGAAAAAAAAAATTCTATCCACTTTACAGTTTACACCAAAATAAAAAACTAATTAATTAATTAAAGATGGACCAAAAATTTAAACACACATATTGAAATTGTAAAAGTTCTAAGAAATGAAAATATGGCAGTTTTTCATTCCTGTGATGGGAAAGATCTTTCTAATTATGACATAAAACTTAGAAGAGACAAAAGACAAGACAAACTATATATGGCAAAAGGTATCATTAACAAACTGAAAAGACAAATGACCAGCAGGGAAAAAAAAAAATGACAAAAGACTAATTTCCCAAATAAATAGATATAGACACCAACAATCAATGAGAAAAAAGCTAATAATCCAATATATAAATGGGCAAAAGGTAGAGTAAGTAAACTATTAACACATAAAATGAAATACAATAAAACAAACTAAACTTCACTTTTTGAAAAAATAAACATTAAGCTCCCAGAGACCAATTTTCACCCATCAAACTGACATAATTAAAAAACTTAACCACACTCCTTGCTATCCAGGATCCGGGGAAGGAAGGACTTTCTTACATTCACTGCTGGCGGAGTGAATGTTACAAAGCGACCTGATAGGACAGAGCAGAACTGCCCATTACGGTTTCCTAGGCTGCAATCCTGTAGGAGCAGATTGTCAAGTTTTTTTCCCATGAAACATGGAATAGAATCATGATCTGTCTTATGTGTATGGTGTGTGGTGTGTGTTGGGTGGTGTGTGGAATATGGTGTGTGTGTGTACATACACATGTAGGTTCTCTGTCAGAAATTTTTTACTTTTCCCTCCAGGAGGGGATATAGGAGACTAGGTGGCCAGGCAACAGGTGTGGAGGTGGCACTTTCCACTATACAGGCAGTCTCTGAGTTACAACAGAGTTCCACTGTGATGACTCTGTTCTGACCTAAGTCTAGTATCTCACGCTTTTTTTTTTCTTTCAGTTTTCATTATTATTGCCTTTTATATCAGTACCTTTATAAATCTAGTTTTTGAACCTCTGCAAATGAACATCTGAGAATAACATCAGTAAATTACATGCTACGACACTGTATATAGTACATATTACTAGCAATAAGAGGTGCCAAAAAAAAAACATCACCCTAAGGTCATTAAGTGTGGGTCATTGTAACTCGAATATATCATATATATTCATATAAGTTAGGGACTATCTGCATTCCCTTTTGTAATGTTTGAGTTTTGTATGATGCAAAATATTTCATTGTTGTTGTTAATTAAAATTAAAATAAGCAAAACCATGCTACAGGGGGAGGGGCAGTTTACTATTATACAATTATTTCACATACTATACTATTTTAAATAAATATAGCATTGAGGGGCTTTAAACAGACTCATGGTTTGCAGCCTTACATACTCAGACCTCACAGAGTACACCAGAATAGTTCACTGCTTTCAACATCTCATAAAACACTTAGGATTTCAACACTGAATCACACTAAGGCCATCCCGATCAACTACCATATTGGGTGTGTTAGCTTTCGGCAGCAATTATAGAGAAACTTGGTATACCAACAGCGGTTTCCCCCTGCTGATTAGAAAACCCAACTGACTGTTGCCAACATCATAGGGATTTATTGGGCAATTCCCCAGGCATTCCACAGGCACATGCTCCTTAACAAGTGTTGTTTGGTAAAAAGTAATTCCGTGGTCAAATGGAGATGTGCAACATTAAATAAACAACTTGTACTAGAAGATTTCTGAGAGCCTTAAAACACTGAACTGGACAGTGCTACGCTGGGGGACAGCATACAATACACTCCAAAAGTGTTTGCCACAAAACCTTGTTTTATGGAACATGTTCAGGGAATGGGCCTGTAGAAGCCTCTTTGAGAAATGAATTTCCAGGAAATGTAAACAGTATGCTTGGCACGGAGGCCACCTTACACGCCAAGTGGTTACAGAACCTAAAATGAACCCAGTCAGCTATACATAGATATTCAATAAAAAGTGAGACGTTGCAAAAAGGGCACAGGGTGGGCATTGGGCATCTTCTGACTTCCTCTAACTTCACAAAGGGCAACAGAATCACTATCAACAGCCCAATGCTTATTCCTATGAGGCCAGACATGCAGCCAATCTCTGGCCTTTCGCCAATTCTGACCCAACTGTCCCTCCCCAGGCTTCTCTGCTGGGTTCGACGATTCGTTGCAATAGCCACACAGAACTCACAGACAATACTCACGATTATGGGGTTAATTAGGGAAGTAACAGGCTACAACTCAGGTTCAGGAACACACTCAGGATACAGTTCTTTGATCAGGACGGTCTTTCCTCTGCTATGACCTCAGGAAAGCCTCATGGCTCTTGGGCTCTCGGCCTGGCCCCTGCCCTGCTCAGGCAAGTATTACAAAGCTCTTTTAGTTCTGCCAATAGGAACATGTAGGCGCACCTCATTCTGCCAGCAAGTTGTCTCAGCCAATCTCAGCCAAGGAGATCCAGCACAGGGATCTTGGGTCCACTCACTCCACTCCACCTCCAGCCCTTCTCTCTTGATGGCAGTGAGATCCCCTTTCTGTCTCTAGGAGGGCTCACTTTAAGCCCAGCAGCATAGCAAAACTAACCTATCCTCAATTAGAGCTCCATACACTTTATTCACACAGTTCCAGCGAGTAATATGGTGGGAGTCACAAAGACCATGGCTAGAAAAGCCATACCAAGCAATTCACTGTACCACAGAACTATTATTTAGCAAGCAGTCTATTAATAGAGAAAACTGCAGTATTAATATGAGTAAATGAGGGAGTCCTTGGCATTAAGTGAATTAGATCCTGAGGTCTGGAGAGCAAGTATATGCTTTGAGGGTGGCCTTGGTCTGATAAGTAGACCATGGATTCTTCAAGGATGAAGGAGCTCAGAGGAGAGAGCTATGGGAAAGCCTGCTCAGGGTCAGGGAGGCAGCAGCACAGAGTTGGGACGGGAATACGGCATGTCACTAATACCGAGCCCACATGCTTCTAAGCAATATAGGAGAATGTACATCAACATGATGCTACCAGGTTCTGGATTTTTCCTCAGACGAGAGTCTAGAGGCATTAAGAACCTCGAGATTGTCTTTAAGGACCCATCCGTGAGTCTGGCAAGAGTGGAGGGAGGGCTGTGGTATAAAATGAAAGTTTTGTCAGTAGGGTAACTCTTCTGAAGAAGAGCTATAGGCATCTCAGCCACAATCTAGGCAACAGAGAGTCAACAAAATACTGCTGAGAGGTTAAAAAAAAAAAAAATGTATAAAGGAATATATGGTTTGGACCACATCTGCCTATGAAACCTATCTTTCAGCAAACTCTAAGCACCGGAAGAATACCTACATAATTCTAATGGTGCGCGCATTGACAGCTTTGCCGCTAGAAATAAAAATCAGGAAAAAGGCAACAAAAGCACAGAGAATAGAGAAAAGGAGGAGTAGAAGGATGGAACCGAGCTTTAATTTTGAAGGTTAAATATTTCGGCCTGGAATAAAAGCAAAATAAGAAAAACGTATCAAATACATACCAATACTGTCGCCACATTATTCGGAAAAGCCTTTGCGAGGATGGAGAAAGAGGCAGTTATGGCTGCAGCAAAGCTTACTGCGTCTGCCACTCTCACTAGAAAACACATGGCGATAAATACTGGTCCTTCTGGAACCTGGTCCAACACACTCAAAAGGAATAAAACAATTTTCAAACATCAAGTTGGGTTTAATTTTTTCTGTATTTTATTTTTTAACTGTACTCACTGAAAGCATTAACAACTACATAACCCATAGTAATCAGAAAAATCTCCTTAGAATATGAATTTTTTAGTGAGTTGCTTTGTCATATTTTCAGTAGGAAAAAAGTTACTTTTTTAAGAAAATTTTTATTTAAGTCATGAAACAAAATGTGTATGAACTGTTAGATGGAAAATGAATTTGTTCTGTAAACCACAATTTAAAAAAAAAATAAGTAACAATTAGGAAAATATTTAAGTCATAATTGATAGTTGAGTTGCCTTTCTCTGCTGACATGATTCATCCCCCTTGGATGATAATACTAAATAGACTTTGTAGGAGTCTCTAGGTGGCACAGATGATTAAATGCTGGGCTACTGATCAAAGGTTGGTGATTTAAACTTATCCAAAGACATGTCAGAAGTAAGACGTGGCGATCTGATTCTGAAAGTTCCCAGCCTTGAAAACCTGATGGAGCGCAGTTCTACTTTGTGCATACAAAGGGTTGCCACAAGTTGGAGCTGACTCAATAGCAACTAACTAAAACAACGAAATAGGCCTTGTTGGAGTATGTAGAACCACACTGACAAGAATTGACACAGAAACAAGGACCTAGAATAACCCCAGGTTCCATGGTAGGGCTCAAAGCTTCAGAAAAAGAATAAATGGGAAAAATAGAAGAGTGCAAGTTTAAGATCTTCCATAACTGTTTTCCTTTGACACACGCCTTCCATCTCTTGGAACCATCTCACCTCAGCTTTCAGAAGTGAGCACACTACCACAACCTGGCCGATCAGGGCCTTCTCTCCCCCTGGCCAGGGTGGCAGATGCAGGGATCAGCTAAGATCAGGCCGGAGGGCTTCATCTGGGGACTCTAACAGGGGATATTAGGAAAATGACACTCTCTTTCTATTGGAGCTGCTGGGTGTCGTCTTGCCACCACAAGGAGAGAACTTGCCCCAAAACAAAGTACACAAAGAAGAAAACGAAACCAAGAAGTTGGAAAAGATACTTGATGACATCATTTCAATATCTGTATCCTGGGTTCTTCAGGCGATTCTTTAGGTAAGAAATTCACATTTTTGTGTAGGCTAATTTGAGTTAGGTCTCTGTCACAATCACTAGGGTCCTAACAAACAGATTTAGTAGTCAGCTTACCTGGGATCCCCTGCAGGACTCTTTCCTTAAGACTCAAGGGTCTGTATTTATCCCAGTTATGTACTCACCCGACTCCTTGTGCTAGTAGATTCTAACACAGGCAATGACATCAAAAGACAATAAATTATACTGACTGGTTTAACGAAGCTATTAACATTTCAAACTGAAGAGAGATCCTGAAATCTGTTCAAACTCCCCAAAACATCAGAAAATGACTTACCCAAAAAGAATTGTAACTCCTCCTGAGACAAACATTCCTGCTACAAACATAAATTTTGCTCCAATCTGTACGAGCTATAATAAATGTCAAAGAAGAGCGGTAAATTGATGACTGCTACAACTCTGTATTAACATAAACAAATCTGCTGTGTCAGGAAACACAGGACTTAGGGAAGACATATGCAGTTGGTGTAATATTGTAATAATTAAGGTAGACATTTATAAAAACCCTACACATAGTTCTTTATCTGTTTAAAACCATCTACGATCACTGCTGTAAACACAAGAACTTTGCATTACCAGCCTGCATAGCTCACCCTTTTCACATGAAATTCAGATAGTTTTATGAAATGACAACATACATTGTTTATAAATATGGAAGAAGTTAAAAAGCAGTAACCCTGAGAACAGAACTGTTAAAGTAGCAGAATTAATAAAATATAATGGTGGATTCCACATGAACCACAGTCTCTTCTAACATGAAACCAGAAGAACTAGATGGTACTTGGCTACTACTACCAACTGTTCTGACCAGAGAGGTCAAGGATAGAATGGGAGGAAACTGTAGAACAAACTCAGATTCCTAAAAAAGGCCAGACCTACTGGACCAGTAGATACTAGAGGAACCACTGAAGACTATTTGCTCTAAGATAACCTTTGAACTTGGATTTGAAGCTATTTTTACAGGTCACCTTTCAGCTAAATAATAGACTGGCTTATAAAATAATGTTCCCTTGAACACATAACTATATGAGACCAGACCGGAAGCTAGATCAATAGGAAGAGAACAAACAGAATGGAAATAATGAGAATGCTGACACATTGTAAAAACTGTAACAATTGTTAAAGGGGAACCTAATTTGCTATGGCTATGTTCACCTAAATTTTATACACACACACACACACAACGGTTATTTTTATATCAATGAAAATCTAGACCAGCATATTGGAATAACTCATTACACAAATTTTTAAAAATCCAAAACGTATACATAAATCTCAATACTTACATATTTTCCAAATACCAAAGACGCCAGCAAGTCAAACAAAGCGTAACATCCAAAGATCATACCAATAATTGTATTGCTGGCTCCCTTCTTTTCGGCCTTTAAAGAAATGGGAAAGAAAATAAAGTTTGAAACAAATTTCCATCAATATTAAAAGATGGAACTATTAGATCAGAGTATCTCTTGTAATCTGTGTAGCAAATTCAAAGATTATTATTTTAAAATAAATGTGTTGGGGAAAGAAAAGACACTACAGTAAAGCCTGCTTTCTAACATGAAAATAATCTGCATGCCAAGATTGTGAAGAATTGTTAACTACAGCTGTCAAAAATCAGAAATAGTGGGTATAAGCAAAAACCTTAGATGAGAAAATCTGGGCTCTGCTTCACCCATGAGGGTGAGCAAACAACTAATCTAGACACATTTCCTTTTTGGTATCATGTTGAGTTGTAAGATCAGACATCACTAAAAACTAAAAACAACTGACAGTCAAAATGTTCAAGGGGAGACTCCATGGGTTGGCCTGTGGCCATACCCAAGGTCCATTCAGGCTGGTCCTCTGTTTCTGACATTAGTATCAACAGCGCGACACCCTGGATGGTGCAAACGTGCTAGGCTGCCAACTAAAAGGTTGGGAGTTCACCAGGGATGCCTTGGAAGACAGGCCTGGTGATCTGCTTCCAAAAGATCAGAGATTCAGAACAGTATGGAATAGCTGTACTCTGACACATGTGTTACCACTGACGTCAGAATCAACTTGACAGCAGCTGGTTTTTACCAGTACCTGACATTTTGGAGAAGACAAAGTTTTCTTTCCTGATATCAAAAACACAGATCAAAAATGCTCCTCTGACATTATATATTCTCCTGAGACACCTAGGGCAACTTATCATCCAACAGTTTTAAATATTAACACTTACAGCTTCTTCTAAGAGTGAGCTCCTAAATTTGCTACAAGCTTTGTAAAATATTTATCCTAAATATACTTCTTTTGAACTTCAAATGCTATTCTTGGTTGTGTTCATCAATTGAATTCATGTTCATTAATAGAGAAGGTTTTAAAAATGTTTTCAAATGTGCAAATATGGTAGATCTTACTTACATCAGGTTCTAGCTATAGCAACTTAAGGAGATAAAATGTGAGTTAAATTTCTTTAAAATAGGCAAGATGGCAGACTAGGCAGAAGGATTGCACAGACCCTCTTCAACAAAGAAAAGGGAAACCAATTAACACAGACACAGAAGATAATCTTG